AAAAAAAAAAGAAAAGATACAGAATTTCACCAAACAAAATGATAGAAATTCAACAATGGTTGTTATATTGCATAGTTTTCAAATTAGTTGTTCAGGCTACCAGATATAAGCATGCAAAACTGGTCAAAAAAATTTTTTTTTGTGGTACTGGGGATAGAACTTGGGACCTTGCACTTGCAAGGTAGGCGCTTATGCCTGCTGAGCTATCTCTTGGCCCCTAAAATTACAAAATATTAATAAAGGAAGAAAAAAAAATTGGAGCATTAACTGCTTTCAGTAGGCCAGCAGTAATCAGCAGCAGTTATCTTTTTGTCCTTTCCCTCATCCCAGTTGTTCCTTCCCTTTGAGCAGTTTCTATCCCTCTTGCAGTATCTACCATACCTTTTAGATTTTATTTACTCTTTGAGGTTCCTACAAGGAGTATTTAATTTTTCATTCTTTCAGTACCAGGAATCGAACTCATGAGCTCATGCTGGTCAGGCAGGCACTGTGCCACTGAGCTAAATCCCCAGTCCAGTATTTTAAGATTTTCATAAAGTAGTAACACTATGTGGGACAACATCAAGGTTATAACTTTTAAAGCCACATAGTAATCACGGAAAAATGTGCACTTCTCGACTTTTCTGTTTCGTTTCTGCGGTGCTGGGGTCACACCCAGGGCCCTGCCCATGTCAGCAAGCGCTCTACCACTGAGCTGCTCCCAAGTCCTGATCTGAGTTACAGATTACTTTAAAAAAACAGGCTCTCTCTGACTTTCTTCATACCCCAGTCACCTCGAGAGTGGACAATTTCCTCTTACTCGGGTACCTGTTTGGGCCTTGACAGTGAAAAATTTAATAGTGCAAAGACAGGAAAGCGAATATACTCTGTGTAATCACAGTTGCAAGGTGAAGCAAAACTGCATTTTTCTTAAAAAAAAAAAAAAAGAGTAACAAGGCTGTTTTAGTGATTAATACCAAATGTATAATAGTTACTGCTCTCAGCTGGTGAACATGCACTAACCGTGAAGGACATTTTACACCACCACAAACACATGGAAACATGGCCCCCGTTCAGTAAAGGTGCAGTGCCCACAACAGAAGGGTGGCTGAACTTGTCTGGTTATGGTGATCAGATGGCTTGAATGAATGGGATTCACTGCGCTCCACGTGCCATTCAGACGGTGGCTCTCACTGGCCAAGAAAGGCCGTGTTGCTAAGGCACAACCTGAGGCTCTGTGCACTTGCTGCTAACCACACATTTCTGGATTAGGCTTCTAAACATGTTAAAATATGGAAATGATGTACTTGAAATCGCTGAGGATACAGGTGGAACACACGTGGATATGCAATGCTGAATGCAGTTTCGGGGTTTCCATGGAATCTGCAACAGGCCTTCCAGTATGCTTCTGCCAGTCCTTGCCAGTGAATGATGGATGAGGTACAACAGAACCTGTGGCCAAATGTCACTTTCTACCCAGATGCATACTCTGAGCTCTGTCCTAAATGGGAAGTCACTTAATGACACTAATCTCTAACATTTCAGAAGATAAACTAACCGAAATGACATCTTCCCTGACTACACAGATCATTAATAAATTCAACAGCGACCCCGTTCATGCTGTACCTTTCAGATGCCTACGGTGCCAACGCAGTCCCTCTGTTGTTTCACCAGCGTGAAATCACACCTCACCTATACCAGCAAAGAGGACCCCACAAACCTCGAAGTCAAAAGTTTTGTTTTACATGGATCAGAACCTTTCATAACACATGGCATACATCTCCAAAATTAATCTTAACCAAAATATATACATTCAAATTCCAATAAAAGTTCAAACATTCAGAACTCACTGGGTCCATCAGGCAAAGGACTATTTTATAAACATCATGCACAAAAAAATTAATCACAGAAACCTGAGGTTAGAATGCTCTTTAGATAGACTGAGGCTTTTCCACCAAAAGGCTGGTAATTTTGTAATCCCAATCAGTTTTTCATGTAAAATAAACATTGCAATTTCCTCTGGACACAAGGACATCAGAGTGATCTTAGGAAAAACAAAGTGGGAAGGAGCAAGGTGACCTAACACCAAGACAGATGCAAATAGCCTTCCCAAAAAGAGACCGATAACGTCAGCAACAAAAATACTAGCAAACAGGCACCAGCTTCCATCTGGATTTTTGATATACAAAACATATTTTAAAGAGCGCTGGTTAGATAACACAACATAGCTCCACGTCAGCAGCCGGGATGTGGCAGCAGCCGTGCCAGGCAGGTCCAACTTGGGCTTGGCAGTGCTTCAACCTGGATGGGGCCTAAGGTCGCCATAGGAAAGCGGAGCTTTCCTGACCCCTGCTGATAACACCACGAAGGGCAAAACCTTGTGCACTGCTCCTTATAATCTACTGCCCTGGCCTAACCAATGAAATGTCATTTGCCTCATTTATTACTTTATATACATAAACATGAACATGCAAATTATACAAATAAGTCACTCAAATTAGACACCAAAATTATAAAGACACTGCCTTTCTACACCTAGGTTATTCAGCTACGATAATGGTTAATGGTGCTACCAAAACCAAGACTCATATAGAGCTGAAGACACACCCTTGCCATGAGTGAGACTGAGGCTGTCATGCGTAGAGTCTCCAGTCTAGGATGCCGCTGGCAGGCCGAAGCCTCCAGACCACTGTCCCTGTCATGCCACACAGAGCTGTGATACACAATGGCCCAGCATTTTTATGCAAGTTGCTTCCCAACTCCATAAACGCCTTCCCTGATGATCTGTCTCAGTGAAATGGCTACCGAGGACCAGTGAGGATGAATTTGGGTAGAAGGAAAGGAGAAACAGATGAGTCAGCGTCTGCCACAGCAGAGCGTGCTGTCTCCCGCCACCCTGCCCAGCGCTGCACCCTGTGCCGTCAGTACCTGCGTGCCAGGCGGCTTGTTACCTGTTCGGAGGCTGGGCCTGAACTCTCGGCTAGTGCTGGGAGGCCGGAAGGCCTCTGGGGCTGTCTGTGCCGGCAGGGCTCGGTATGGAGGAGGAGTCAACTCTTCGTCACCAGAGAAGCTCCTCCGCACCCCACCTGGCATGGGCAGGCTTGACAAACTGACAGGCTTCTTCCCAACTGGCATCTTCCTCTCTAAACATCAAGTCAGACTGAAGTGAGCTTCGACTCCCGTGGTGGCAGGAAAAGCGCATTGCAAAACAAGGAAGGCTGGGAGCACGAGGCGCAGACCCTCTACATCGGGCCGCATTACAGAAGCAAGGGCGGCTGTGCATGTGGGCATGTGCCTCACGTGGGCGCGTGTGCCTGTGTGTGCGCAAAGGGAGAAGGATGGGGACTGTTTCTACTTTCTCAGTGTCTTATAATCCTAGTCCTGACTCCCAAATGAATCTTAAACGAAATAAAGCAAAATGAACAAGAAGGCACTTAAGGTAGAGAACATCTGGCCAATTTCTTTCAAGAAAATCTTAGCCTGAGGAAGGGTGAAAAACCAAAACCAAAGCGAGAGAGGCTTCTTTTTCCTCTGCAGAGCCGGGCCTCCTGCCCCACACTCCCTAGCCAGCCTGTGGGGCCTGGGAGCTTCCACTAGGTAAGTGGGGGGCAGCCTGTTCTACAGATATGCCCAATGTAAATGGTGTGCTCCCCCCTGCAGTAAACGATCCACTTATTCTGCAAAACAGTTCTAAAATCCAAAGTTTATTGCTTATTGTCTGCAAATTCTTAATTTCTGAAGCAAATTTATCACACCCGTTGGGTAGTTTCATAAGCAAACGTTAGTATTCCAGAACGCGTGTAGTTCCATCAACCAAAAATACACCCCGAGTCTTGCAGCTACTGAGCCACCAAGTAAAGAGCACCTATCAGGCTGAAAGCAGGACGTTTCCACCTCCTCGGACTGTAACTTCTGCCTGTTCTCCTTCACAGGACACAATGACCCAGCTAAGAACAATCACATCTATGCTTCACAGAAGTGGCCCTGAAGGGCACGCCTAAGCTGGACGTCCCAAGGTCTGGAAGCCAAGGCTCTCTCTACAAGTGGGCTACAGACTTAAGAGGTAAAAAGCTAAGGAGAACTCTCCAGCACGGTGCTCACAGGAGCCCTGGAAATGGGGAAATGTAAGACAGAAATTAATGCTGCTTTCCCTGCTCCAGAATTACTACTTGAAACGGGACGCACACGAGCCTCTACGCACAACAGTGCCCTTCAACAGTGCCAGCTAACATCCCCCTTCACACACAGCTTGTTACCAAAAGCTGGGACAATAAGGCCTGTCATTGTCTAACAAGCAAGCACTAGCAAAGAACTCGTGAAAGATGCTACGCAGCAAAACACTGAAGGGCTCGAAGATGAAACAACAAAGCCAGGACACAATAATCTACCGGCAAACTGAGATGTGTGCAGCTTCTGTAGCCCTACTGCTGCCATATACGCTTGCCTGTGACAGATGCCTTAGGTCAGTAAGCCCTACGTTTTCTGTTTGGGAGCTGAACTTTCGTGGTAGACGCTTTTAATAAACTGTTGAGTAATATAAAAAAATTTAAGGCGCACACAGTTCCTTTCTGGTGAAAATAGCTTCTTAATGCACTATCCCCATTTATTTTCCTTTTTTTTGGTGGCTCTAGGAATTGAACCCAGGAGAGCTGGGGAGATAGCTCAGTGGGTTAGGTGCCTTCCTGGAAGGGCCTTCCCACCAAGCTACATATCCAGATTGAGACAAGCTCTCTCACTGACTGCTAAACTACCCAGGCTGGGCTCCATCTTGTGATCATCCTGCCTCAGCTTCCTAGAGTGCTGGGATTACAGGTGTATGTCGTCATACCCAGCTCTAACAGTGGCATTTCTTACCATTAATTCTAACATGAGAAAGTTTTCCTACAAGATTCTGGCAACAAAATCATGTTCATTTGGCAGTACATTATAATCGTTACCTCAGGCCCCCCCCCCCCCATTTTCTTTTTTGAAGTGCTGGAGATCAAACCCAGAGCTTTGTGCATGCTAGACATGCTCTACTACTAACCTACAACCATAGGCGGGGACTCCTATTTGTTTTTAGACAGGGTCTTGATATGTGAGCCACGCTGGGCCTGAACCTGCAGTCCTTTCTGCCTCAGCCTGCTGGGCTGCAGGGACTACAGGAGGGAGTGGCACCTGGTGTACGCTCTGTGCAAGTACGTGTCAGACAATGCTCCAGCCTGCAAGAGGTGTCGGGTAGTACAGGGCACACCCACTGCATTTCTTTTTTCTGAAATCCAAGCTGGATATACGGTGGTGCACACAGAGAAGCCAAGCATGCAGGAGGATCACCACCAAGTTCAAGGCCAGCCTAGGCTATACATAGCAAGATCCTGGCCAAAAAAAAAAAAAAAAAAAAATCCAAGAAATTGTCAGTTCCCACATTTATCTGGCATCTGGCTGCAGAGATTTCTAATATGGGACCACAGACTTGTATTACTTTTTCCTTTTTATGTCTGTAGAACCACCCCAAAATGTTAAGCGACGTCATAATATTAAGAGCTATCAAAACATCACAGGTCAGCATATGTCACACCTACAGCTAAACTAACTTTTCTGGATAATCCAGAAATCTGATAATGGTAAATATCAATAAAAATGGGGGTACTTGCACTAGTACTTTGTCAATTACGTATTTCTTCCCTTATCCCCAAACCGTAATTCAGAGTAATTTAAACTGTATAAGCCAGACACAAACATGTTAAGAGTTACACCGAGGAAAAGATGAATTTATAGACAACACAATGCCGATAGATTAGGAAGGAGTACTCTTCACAAACCACTGAGTAAACTAAAACCACTCTTAATTTGATATCTTGGTAGCAAAGTCTTGTCTTTTCTTGTTTGTTGAGGTAGGGTCTTGCTATGTAGTAGTTCAGGCCGGCCTTGAGCTCACTGTGTAGCCCAGGCCGGCCTCGAACCCTCAGCTGCCCTCCTGCGTCAGCCTCTCCAGTGCTAGGATCTCAGGTGCGTACCTCAACACAGGCTGCCTCAGCCCGTGACCCACTGTACAGATCACACATGCCAGGGTTTGTGCTTGGCCACTAAATTCCCAGGTAAGTGCTAATTACTTGCAGGAAGCCCCAGCGGGCTGCCTGTGCTGCGCTGTTCCCCCCAGTACTTTGCTGCAAGGAGCGGACCCCCAAGCGGCTTTGGGAGGCTCGGCCTGGAAGGCCCAGGAGCGCAGCACTGGCCCCAGGGTCCACGGGGCGGGCGGGCTCACTCAGGAGGGCTCTCGTCTGCAGTGTGCGCTGCAGTGGCTGCTAAAAAGGTTCAAGCGCTTCAGTTACAGAATTCTAAGCAAACGTGGGTAACCAGCAGGGTGAGAACAGAGTATGCTGGATCCTTCAGGCTGCTTTGGTCTCTTGTTAGTGAGACAGATGAGCACTTATTTAAGAATATAGCAAATCAGCTTGAAAAGTCAGTATTAGTCCTCAGTTATTTTTCACTTATAAAGAAACTCTGAATAAATTTATCTTACAGTGAAATAGTCCACAACAAATTTCACGAAGAGTAAAACCTGAGACTTTCTACGGTAGGGAGAAACATTTAAAGTCAGTTTCTCATATTACATTATGGCTATTAATGCCAAAAGGAATTCAGTGCAAGGTAAAACACAGCATAGAAAGCATGTTTAGAATTTTCTGCTCTGGTGGTCATCAACCTGGACTTCTTCCAACTCTATAAAAGTCGTACCTTGTAGGAAGGATGGGTTCACTGGCTTCAGGTGTACTACAAACACATACTTTTCTCTTAAATAGGAAGTTAAAAAAGATTAACTTTATGGAAGCTTGCGTGGAGGCACACACCTGTCATCCCAGCACTTTGGGAGGCTGAGGCAGGAGGATTGCCATGCGCTGGAGACCAGCCTGGGGCTACCAAGTGAGCAGAAGGCCAGCCTGAACTGCACAGAGGGTTCACTTTTAACAGGTTTACATACTGTCTGCGGAGTCATCCTTAGGCTACTACTCTTGACCACTTGAATCTCTCGCTCCTGACAAGGTCTGCCTTTGTGGCATACTGCATCTTTAGGCATAAAACAGACTGCAAAATCATCAGTTCTCACGAGGGATGGAACTTTCTGTGCAAGAACCCTGTGGCCCCCATGGGCTAACAACTAGAAAATGCGTGCAGACACCACGTGGGGACCCACTTTTCTTATGTCCTTTGTATTGCTGGGACTTGGCCTTCTTCTTCTGTTTTGATGATGCTGACTGGCTCTCTCTTGTTGCTGAAAAACATGAGGGAAAAAATTAGCACATAATTAGCATAAGGGAATAATTTCTTTTTCCTTTTTGGTGGTGTTAGGGACTGGACCTAGGGCCTTATGCATGCAAGGCAAGAGCGCTACTACTGAGTCCCATCCCCAGCCCCAGGTAATTTCTTCAAATTCTAGATATAGCTTAGATGAATTGACCTTTACAAAGACCACTCTGTTTATAGAAGTACACAATGCTTCGAAAATAAGGGTGTATTCCTGCAATGCTACGCCCATCACTACTCAAGCGCACTCCCTAGATGTGCACCAATACATTCGGCCTGCGACTTCTAAGGATTGAGCCCAGGGCCCTATCCATGTATTATGTGTCCTCTACAAACTCCTTTTGCGGGGTGGGTCAGGGGATACAAGCAAGGCTTTTAAATGCACTAGAACAGCAGAATTTGGAGTGACCTGTTTCTCTCTGTCTTTCTGTAAATGACTATGGAGTTCATATGACTGTGATACACATGTCTGATCCTGTGGTTGACTCCTTACATCTAGGAACCAATCAGACACAGGCATACTCTAGTCCTGTGAGCTCACAAGGTGATTTGTATGAGATCAGTGCTCTAGAGAATTGCTCATTTGTCTCTGTGTCTGTTTTGCTTTTCTGAGACACTGTCTGGCTATGTAGTCTAGGCTGGCCTCCAGCTGTCAGGGATCCTTCCAGCCGACCCTCACAAGTGCTGGGATTCCACGTGTATGCCACACATCTAGCTAGAATTGCGATTTTTATAAAAGGACAGATTTTCTGCATACCAACTTACACTGTGAGGCTGGAGGCTGCAGCTGGTATCCAGTCAACTGACACCAACCGACAGGATAGAGGTCAGGGGACTCGCAGTCTACCCACTGGTCATACTCTTCTTCCCATCCATCAAAATGTATCCTCAAGAGGCGATGGATGATTCGCGTTACTGTGGCTACACAGATTAAACGTGGCTCCATGAGATCTACTGCTTCTAATTTCATTCCCACACGGAATCCGTGATTGGGAACATCCTGACACAAAGAAGAGGAACATCAGCCATGTATGGTGGGACACACACGTCTACAGGCACTAAGAAAGCACAGAAGAACAGTGATGGGCTGAGTACGTCATTCTACCCCAAACTCCAGTATCTTTAAGTAAACAAGTTACAAGGGAGAAGTATTTTAAAAGGTAGTTAGGAAGTGTATTCATTTCTACTTCTCTCAGATTAAAAATGAAACAATTTAGAAAGAAGCTTCTTTTCCTAAGGAAATATTCATAATTTATTGACCGTAACAAATACTCATACTAATCTTCATTAAAAATTCTAGTATCACAAAGACATTTTCATTGACAAGACTGCATCTAGGTGGTGTTACTAGGATCGCATGTCGATTTACCTTGTTAAACAGTTTTACTGGTGCTGCAATGGAGCCAGTTTCCCTGAGGTAGTCAAACCATTTAAAAGGAAGTTTAGTGTAACCTAAAAGAAAACCAAAACCAAAACCGGCTTAAGTAGCAGTTCATTCAAAATGGACATAAAAGTAAAACGCAGGGTAAGAAGTACTACCCCACGGAGTCTTGATCTTAGGCGGTCAGACAAACCTCTAAGTCATGTCCCAACAATGACAGTGGAGGACTGCTCCTTGTAACACAGATGACCTCCCTTTGTAGACACACAAGTGTCCCACTCAGCCAACAGGAAAGTGACAGGAAGGGGAGACTCCTGCTTTGTATGTATTGTCTGTAGTGCAGGGGCTGCGCTATCACGAGTTCCACTGAAACCCCAGAATTTTGTTCGGTCAATCTCAGACTTTAGGACAGTCTGGCACTCTAAAGAGATGTTTCTCTTTTCTTTCTTTCAAACTAGCTGAACAAAAATTTTACAAACCTTTTTCACTTTCTCCTCATCTTACAAAAAACCTCAAGAGTCAGACACTGAAATTAGAAAAATCACTAATTAAGTCATGAGATTTTGTTTTCTTTTTGGTACCAGGGATCAAACTCAGGATCTTGCACTTGCCAGGCAGGTTCTTACGCTGCTGAGCTATCTCCCCGGCCCCAGAACTTTTTTGTTTTCAAGACAGTTTCTCACTGTGTAGTTCACACTGGCCTTGACCTTGTATCGCCCAGACTGACAGCCGCCTGCCTCAACCGTGGAACTGCTGGGACTACAGGCATGCACCACCACGCCTGGCTAAACCCCGAGAGCTCTTAACAACATGTCTCCTTTTCAACCACCATGTGGTACAGAGGGAAACATCTTTTCTTCAAAGGCTAAGTATCTATTTAAAAAAAAGTTCCTATTCCCATGTATACCAGCTTATTGAGATCCCAGGACTACTGATTCACACTGTAACGTGCACAGACGTTCATGAGAAACCTCAAGAAATTGATCAAAACGGCTTAGAATGTAAGACTTTAACGCAAAGTTCTGCTCTGGTACTTGTGAGCGTTAATCTACGCATGTCCACACCCACTACAGTGTGTCTACAGAGCAAGAAGACAGCGCTGTGCTGAACGCAAGCAGACAGCGCGGGCAGAGAAGGCAGGCAGCCAGTGTTTGCACTGGATGAGGTACCTCTGGGTGGAGTAAGTTCAATCATGTTAATTTCACAGAAACCAACAGGGAAAATAGAAGGGGAGGTTGCGTGATAACAGAACCAGTCAGATCCATCTGCTGCTTCTGAGCCATCAATTCCAATCATCAGGTATCCGTCAGCCAGCACCTTTGAAATGAAGAGAATCCTGAGTACTTGAAGTGAAGACGCCGCCACTAAAAGATCTCTTCAAAGTAAAATAGCGTTTTTTATTAAGTTAAACAATACAAATTATAATGAAAAATCTATGTAACTTACAGTGTATACCAGAGACAAAAGCAAAATTACAGAAATCATTTATTTCAGAGGCTGAGAGGAGCGAGCTGCTGTTCTTCTACAGCTTAACAGTCCGCCTTCTACTTTTCTTGCTAGAGTTGTTTTGCTGATACTGGTGACTGCACCCAGTGCCTGGTGCATGCCAGGCGAGTGTCTGCCCCCCGGGCTGTCTCTCCGGCCACATCCCATCTGTTTTTTCTACCTTCCCAAAGCTCCAGCTCCGCGGTTATTATGCTCTGGCCCAAGCAAGGGCCTCTGGGCACCACGTCTGAGGCCTCACTGCTCTAACAAGTAGCTCCGGTGCTTCCTTGGGAGTGGGGTTCTTCTGAGACAGGCCTCATGTCTAGTTCAGCCAGGCCCTGAGCTCACTGTGTAGCCCAGGCTGGCCTCAAACTCACTGCGATCCTCCTGCCGAAGCCTCCCACGTGCTAGATGACAGGAGTGTGCCACCACACAGGGCTTCACCTGTGTTTTGTTAAGCTCCCCAGGAGAGCTTGCTGCTTATAGGGAATTAAGTCCAAGATGCTTTCTTAAGAACAGTTTATTACAAGGAAAAGAGGGAAGAAATGTCGTACTAACAAGCTGAAGAAAATTCATAAAAAGCAACCAGAAAATTGAAGATCAACCTTGTCTTGTAATTCTGTGGCACTGACAAGCTCTGAGAGGAAGTAACCTAAGTCACGCTGTTCCTCTGACTTGGGTTACACTTCCCTAATATGGCAAGTAGGCTCAAGATGGCTATCTGGCAACAAGCAACACAAAACAAGATGTGAAGGTAGGAGTGGTGCCACATGCCTGTCATCCCATGCCTGGGGAGGTTGAGACAGGAGGATGCCTATGAATTCAAGGCCAGGCTGAACTAATTTAACAAGACCCTAAAATAAACGAATGATCTGACAACAGAATTAAAATTTATTTTGAAATTTCCAGTAACCATCTTTCGAGGAAATGTCCAGAAATACACGTATTTTATGTCAAATGGAATTACTTGTTTTTAAAACCTATTATCTTTTACTTTTGAGACAGAGTCTTACTATATAGTACTGGCTGGTCTTGAACTCACTAAGTAACCTAGGCTTGTTTAGGACTGAGATCTCCTGCCTCAGCCTCCCCAGTGCATGTACCTCTGCACCTGGTTTAAAACCTAGCTTTTAAAAAAATTAATAAAAAGAAAAAAACCCAAACTATCGTCTTACCTTTCTAATAGTTGCAACACATATTGTAGAAAGATTTAATGGGTCTATTGCCTCCAATTTCATTCCTTCCTTGAACCACTCTCCACTCTGGTCTACTTCTTTTACCTAAAGAATTATATAAAAGCACATACCCTGTTATAAGCATTATCATCTCAGTAACTAAAATACCATCAATTTGAAAAGGTTTACCAGATGCTTCTCCTCCTACCTAATATTATAACTCAGACTTCCATTAGGAAATAAAGACAGTCCAGACAGAATTTAATAAGAGATGTGACACCTATAAATTATAAGGTCTTAGTCCTTAAGTGAACATATGTAACTGTGATTTCCATAATTTCAGGAAAAAACCCACAACCCTCTTTCAAACTTAACTTACAAATGAGGGTTCTTATAAAAACTTCTTACCTTAGCAAATAAATGTGGTGGTGTATCAAAATGTCCATCCTGTTTCTTTGTAATATCTACAAGGAAAAGTTACATACTAATCTGTCAGCATTTGTGAGAAGACCACAAACCACGTTTCTTGAAGGTTTCACACTCACGGGGGACGGAACACTCTAAAATACGGCCATGGACATGCCTTCTACGCTCTGGTGCGCCGTGTGCATGTGCTGTTAGACGCATTTCAGCCAAGCAGAGTGCTACTTATGTAACCTGGGAATTACAACTTCAGACACACGTTTTGATGTGTCTGGTACTGTCAACCCATAGTTAGTCATACCGTTTTGATTAAAACTGAAACAAAAAACTTGACACCTTGAAAATGGGCAGGATTAAAAAAGAGCAAGAAAATAACTGTGACCAAAAGTACATTATCATAATTACTAAACATGTATTATTATTTTGGCACTGGGGATTGAGCCCAGGCCCTTGTACAGGGAAATATTTTTTAATTGAGAATAAATTGAAGGAATATGAAATAATTAGGGCACTAATATGGTGTGAGCTCTTCACTAATTAAGGTAAAATAAGCACACTGACAACTAAAATGCCTTTTTTGCCCTAAAGTGCCAGATATCAAACCCAGGGCCTTGCAAATGTTCTACACTGAGCAACATCCCTAGTCCTAGAATGCTACTTTTGGTCCATGCTATTTTGCAAAGAAAAATAAACAAGAAGTGCAATTCTGCATCTATGACCCTTTCCATAGGAGTTCTTGTGACAAGTGCTTACCAGATCGTTTGAATCGATGGCCTATGCTTCGAGACCAACCAATGTGGTGGATTAAGGGGCTATGCATATGGCACCAGAAGTCGTCCGTCCTGTCTTCACTCTCTTCGTATACCAGTCTCAATCTTCCTCCGATGACACTTTCCACCACCGCCACTCGTGTTCGACACAGATGTCTCTTGTCAACCACTTCTACTCTCATGCAAGGTTTGAAAGGATACTGCATACTCTCTGAAACCTACAACACAGGCAAAAAAAGCCACTCAGAACATACAACCAACAGTGTATATAAGCAATTTTAATACTGACTACTAAAATACTGATGGTGCTTAATTTTCTTTTGGCGGACCGGGGACTGAACTCAGGCCCTTGTGCTTGCCAGGAAAGCACTTATTCTATGGCGCTTAATGTTTAACAAAGAGCATCTAAAGGCCAGCCAAACAGCTCAGCAGATTAAAGCGCCTGCAAACAGGCACAGGAGCCAGGGGTTCAATCCCTGGGTCAGCCGTGCTAGCCCGGCCCCCAGGGTGTGCTGAGAAGGCAACTGAGACTGGGCATGGTGGCATGAGCCTGTAATCCTGAACTTTTGGGATGCTGTAAACAGGTGGATCACTAGGAGTATGATCTAGTAGTGAGACCTGGAACACCCTGTAGACCCTTCCCTAAAAAAAAAAAACAAAACCAAACAAACAGAGCATCTACTTCATGAAATCAAAACAATTTTTTTTTTTTTTTTGGCAGAACTGGGGATTGAACTCAGGCCCGTACGCTTGCCAGGGAAGCACTTATTCTACTGAGCCATCTCCCTGGACCCAAACAATTCTTGAAATACCTTCTAAGTTCTACTTTCTAAAGAGTCTTTCAGTCCTTTGTAAAAGATTCCATTTTTACCTTTTGTGAGAAGTCAGGAGGAAGTGTTTTGGCACCAGTAAGTCTTTTTACTAGAAAAGCTTTCCAGTTTGTATATTTATGTTGAATAGCTAAGACAAAAGAAATAATCAGTTATATTTTAGAAGAAGGAAGAGCTGCTTCCATTGCTAAAAAAATAGCTAACAATTTTTTCTGCAAGCCAGATACTGAAGTCCTTCAACATAACAAAACCAGAAAACAGGTACACAGCCTTTCTGCTACTTCCTGGTGACTGTGAGCCAGCACTGTGGCAGGCCCAGCAGAAGCCAGCGAGGGTGACCCGAGTGCTTACTTCTGGGAGGGACGAGGGGCTTTCCGCTGGCTGCACACCACCCGACCGGATGGATATCGGAGCCACATATATTGCACCAGAAGTCCAGACCAGAGTCATTTTCAAATCCTTCATATCTTAAGAGGGCATTGTAACCTGGAATCAACAAAATGATCAAAACACAGTCAGAAAAATGCAAAACTCACACAACATCTAGAAGCAGGAAGTTATCAAGCTTAATGGCATCTGCAACAACCCTTTGTTGGATTTTTTTTTTTTATATAAGCAGAATATATATATATATTTATTGAGAGAAAGAAAGCTCCTGTCCTGAGAGAGGGATAGGAGGAGGGTAGGCCTGAGCGGGTAGCTCCCCCTTGTTGGATTTGTTAACAGAAAGAGACCTGGGCCAATTCCAGATCCAGACTTGGCAGGTGCCTGGTGAGCCTTCTTTTGTCTACTGTGCTGGGGTGGAACCTACGCCTGTGCATAGGTTTGTGCATTTGTTAACAGACAGAGACCTGGGATGCTGCCGCTCCTACAGGTCTGGACCAAGAGTAGAGAGCCGCCTGTTCCATGCAGTTAGTTCAGCTGTCTTCAAGCCTTTCTCCTCTGAACAATTTCAATTTTACCCATATTTTCTCATGTTTTAGGGAACAAAGCCCTTTGAGGGAAAGTGAGTATGATAGCTTTATTAGAACACACAGTTCTGGTTGCGTGTGGTGGTGCATACCTACAACCCCAGCACTCTGGGAAGCTTAGACAGGAAGATACAAAGTTCAAGCTCAGTTTGGACAATGGAGGGATACCCTGACTCAAAATTTAAACAAAACAAAACATGCTTAAGATGTGCCCTGGGCTCATCCCCAGTACTGACAATTCTTTAAAAAGTACAATAGGTTTTAATTACAAAGCACTGTCACGTCACGGAAATCCAGTGGAAGTGTATTTCAAAGAAGCTGCCTCATTCAGCCAGTTATTTTGGATAATTTGGATGTGGCTACCTGAAGAATCTAAATTTAAAGCCAGGAATGGAGGTGTCTGCCTATAAACCCAGTGCTCAGGAGGCTGAGGTAGGATGATCTTAAATCTGAGGTCAGTCTAGACTACATAGTGAGACTCTGTCTCAAAACACAGCCACATCCCCAATTTCAATGGTATGTGCCTACAATCCCAGCTGCTTGGAAGGCGAAAGGGGAGTATGTCAAGTCTGAGGCCAGCCTAATTTTGTGAGACCCTGTCTCAAAGTAAAAAAGGATGGAGTCAGGCATGGTAGGGCATGCCTATAATCCCAGCACTATGGAGGCCGAGGCAGGAGGATCACAGTGAGTTCAAGGCCAGCCTGGCCTAAATGAGCAAGTTCAAGACTAGCCTAACTGGGGCTGGGGAAGATAGCTCAGCAGATTAAGCACCTGCCTGGCAAGTGTAAGCACCAGGACTTAATCCCCAGTACCTCATGCTGTGCTGGCCCTGAGCTGATCCAGCCACCAAAACTAGGCATGGTGGCATATGCCTATAATACCAGAGCTGGAGAGCTGAGACAGGACGATCACTGTGAATCTGAGCTATATGGCAAGACCTTGTACCAAACACATAAATTAAACTGGGGATTCGTCTAGGAGCTCATATATGGCAGGCAAGGACTCCAGACCTTTTCATTTTGAGACAGGGTCTTAAATCATCCAGGCTAGGTTCATAAGTACAATCCTCCTTTCTCAGCCTCCTGTGCAAAGTATCAGGGGATTACTGGCATGAATGCTAGTTTGCGATTAACACAAAGCTTACCTCCTTTAAGGTAAAATAACCTGAAGGCCATAAGGATAAAAGTAGGTGAAATGGAAATGTAAATCTGACAGGTAAATTAGAAATAATTCTTGGATATTAAATGTAATGATCTACATGCACTTAATATCTGTGACAAAAATATGTTGCTGTTGCTTTAAATTATGGTGTAGAGCATAATCAAAGCATGTGAAGTATGCCTGAATAGTTAAGGAAATGTTTCAAATGAAATACTGGATTGTACTGGTTAATACAACTGGGCACTATGATGAACAAGGGGATACAGGCAACAAAAAACACTGCGTGACGGAAGGAGGGCAGGAGGCAGCGAGAGAAGGCGGACGCACATGTGCAGACACACACACGCACAGCATCAGTACACAGCAGCGCAGCATGTGAGGGCGGGCGATCAGACAGCAGGAGGAGCAGCCCTTCTCACAGCACGTCTGTCACCTGAACGGCGGCCCCTCCTGCCATCGCACAGCAACACTGCATTTATGTCCCCCGAATGGCAGTGATGCTACTCACACATGGTACCTACTTCCACAGCAAGGCTTACAATTCTCTGCTTGTCCACAGAAAAACTCCCTTTGTCTAACACAGGTCCCCGACACATTCATTAATTTTTATTTTTATCTGTCCTTTTTGAGACAGGTCTCACTAGGTAGTTCAGGCTGGCCTTGAACTCACTTTACAGTGCAGGCTAGTCTTCCACTTGCAATGATCCTCTGTCCTCAGCCTCCCAAATAAGTGTGGGGATTACCTGCGCGTCACCACGCCCGGCTTATTAGCAAGAGAAGTCACAAGAGCTGGGAGCAGTGGAGGCCACACAAAAGGAGGAGAAAGAACTGAAGACATGAAATCATCAGTATTTAATTTAGCATTTTTTTTTGTATTTCAGCTTTTGTTATTTTTCAAAGTACCCTATATAGGAGGGCTTAGCATTTTCATGCACTATTATGGCTAACAGCCTTATTTGCTTTCTTTTTAAAAGAACAGCCCAGGATCTAAAAAGTTTTAAAACTGTAAACAGCTGAAAAAAATACTTTAGAAGATATGCAAATTACATACAATTCACATTTCAGTGCTCATAAATAAATTTACCTGGAACACATCCATACCGTTTGCTTACATACTGCTACTTGCATGTTATAAAGGGAAAGATACCGTACAGGCTACACAACTGAACAAAGATGCCAAACCCTACTCTGTATTGTGTCATTTATTTGATAATACTTGCAAAATTTACAAACATACCTTTTTGCAAAAGGCTTTATGTACCACTGGCTTTTTTACTAATTAGAATGCGTGCTTTCACCTGCTAGTTTGAGAATCCCCGCGATCCAGAAGACCTTGGTGGGCAGGCTGCAGTCCGTATTGGGGACCTCTACTCGCACGTTCTCGGAGATATCGCCCCAGCAGGTCCCCATAGGCGCCTGTTGTATAAAAATTATTATATTACTGTCTTATTAATATACAGACATGTCATTCAGAATCAAGCATTACCATTAATAACGTAAGTATTACATCGTTATTTCTCCCTATTACGCAGTATTCTCTTTAGAAAAAGCAATGTCAGGATCAAACACAAGATGAAGAAAGAATTCACACATTAAATAGATCGATTTTGATACCAAAATCCAAAAGTCCTAATATACAACAATCTTTCTAAAAGCTGAATTACAAACCTGACACACTTCACAAATTAAAGTTGATCTGAGAAATTTATTTTTAGCATGTATTGAATAAATTCACATAGAGAACTCTTAATTTTAAAAGATCTGGCCAAAGAGGAGAAAGAAAAAATAATTTCAATCAGGAAGCTGTTTTCCACAACATAAACAGGAGAAACAAGACCTGGCTATCTCTGTCTTCAATTTAAGTGGGTTTCACAGAATACAGTCTATTAGGACAGACATGAGGGAAAAGCACTGAATAATTAAAAAGGCACAGCACTATAGAAAATTGGAGATGAGCACTATACTAAATTGTTAAATATTTAATCATTTAAAACATTTCCCGTGTAGGAATTATTGTAAGGAGAAAACTTACAAAGTTAGAACTGCTAATCATGAGCTTCCTCAACAAATGATTAAGATGGGGACTCAGAAACCAACTAAACGAGTACTGTAAAGGGATTTTCCCAAAACATAACACACACTTCCAAATTACCATTTCTATCATGTTAGTCCTTAAGCTGCAAGGCAAGTCATAGAATTTATACAATGGTGAATAAAATCAAATGAGTGAACTCAGAAATTTACGTATATCTTAATCAGTTTTATGGCCCTGCATAATCAGCTCTTCGCCAAATATAATTTAAAATGTTGGACATAAAAGGACTGAGGTTGCGAAAGACCAACAATATGAATAAATCGGAAAAAATAATACAGCCTCAAAGCCCCCAGACAAGCAAGCGAAGAACTCATCCACTTGGACTGCAGGTTTCCCACGGAAGGCCCCTCGCGCTCTGCAGATGCTAACCCACGGGAGGATTCGCCTCCAACAATACTTCTCACAATGGTTTGCAGTTGGAGGAAAGGCAGAGACTGTCACATACACTGAAGTAGGACAAGCCTAAACACCGACACAGAGCCAATGAATGACTGCTGCTTTGCATGGACAGCAGTGAGCACACCTCAGCTACTTGGAGACACGTCCTGGCTCAGCTATGTGGCTTCTGGGAAGGAACCCGTGAGTTGGGGAAAAAGGCACTGTGATTACTTTTCTTTGTAAAATTAAAACACTGGACCCTTTAGGTTCTGCTATCTCCCCTCTACATCACTCTAGACTGTAGGGCCATCCCTATTGCCAGCAGATAGGAACAGAAAAGGAAAGGCTGGGAGGAAGACCGGTGACACAGGCTAAGCTAACACTGAGGCTGTTCACTTCCGGGAAGGCCAGCAATTTGAGCAGATGGATGCAGTTAGACAAATGCATAAAATTGACGTAGGACACTCACTCTTCTTTGCTTGGTTGCCAAACATGTGAGCTGGGTTTCTTTTTCACCCAAAAAGTCATGATTATGCTGACAAGCTACAGGTTACAGGGGCACACTGCTAGGTGAGTGCGGTAGACAGGACTTCCTTCTGGGCTAGGTAGGACAATCTGCCACATTAATTCTTTTTTTTTTTTTTTTAAAAGCCATAGCATTTGATGGGTGAAAATAACTTTCAGCCTCATTTTATTAAAGAAAACAAAGTGTCAAAATACTCAAAAATACTCAAAAAATTAAAGGTACTTTAGTGGGTGGGAGATCTTGTTTTGGTCTTTACAGTCTGGATTGGTATAGGAGAAAGTAGCAGAAAGTGACATTTGTTCTTGCCTGTAAGGTTGTGGTTCTGCTAGGCCCTCTTAAACCAATCCATATGGCTCACTACGGAAAAAATGAAGAAACACAAACATCAATAGGAGCACCACAGTCATAGCGCAGTACGTGCTCGAAGTGTTGAGATAATAAAATGATGTCACAGGTATATCTGCCCTTCAGTTTAAAACAAATACTTGTAAGTGTGGAAGACTAAATGACCCAGGGCTTGACAGCCATCTTCATCCAAGTCATCTGTCTTCTCGTGCTGGCAGGAGGGACACCTCTGCGAGTCTGGATTGGCACAGCATGAACTAGCAGAACCAGCATTTACAGGTAACAACAAATTTACCTTCCAGACTCAGGACGCGAGGTCCACCTCAGGCTCCTCCCAAACAAGGAAGATCTGCTCCACCACTTCCTGCTCCAGGGCCTCTCGTGAGAGCTATCTGGGAGCGACGCTCCTTCCCTGCAAGGTAAGCTGTCATCAGGTCCTGCAGGACACGGCCAAATCCAATGCTGCGGGGTCCCCAACACAAATGTATGTAGCTTCCACCTGCCTGTCTCAGGAAAGGCCTGGGCTGGTGGGCTAATTCTTGTGCACTCAGGACTCCCCAGATGGTCCAACAGCCCTGCTGGCCACAGCCAGGCTCTCAGAGGATGCACATGGAGATTTCCCTCCAGAGCTGCCAGCCTAGAGCTCTTTGATAGCCACACACAATCTTTAAGAGGACAGACCTGAAGCTGCTCAGCAGGTCACTGAGAAGGAATCTATTCCCACAGTAGGACAAATGTACACACAGCCACCTTTAAAATAGCTTCAAACTAACAGACATGTTTACTGAAGTGCACTTGCAGAGAATGATCAATTACTGGGGGGGGGGTGCGAAGAAAATCAGAAAGAAATCTGAATTCCTACATACTACTTACTGCATCTGGCTCAAAATCAGAACAACAAGAAAAAGTTGTTCCCACCCTTCCTCTTCTGAGCTGATAGCAGAATTGCTATTTTAGGGTGGTGGTGTGGAGATGGGCAGTGCAAGGGGAGGAAGAGGGAATGCAGTGTTCAGGGGAGGGGACTGGGGAGCAGCAAAGGACGAGCATGTGTCAACAAACAGGAAGCAGAGGCCATTAAGTGGAAAGCTTCAAATAAGCCGTAAGAAAAACGGTATTAAGTCAGTACTGTTTAAGCAGAAGTAGATCTTGGGGGAAAAAAAACAAACAAAAAACCCCCAAAAAACAAAAGCCACTTTTAAGAAATAAAACAAAATTACAGACAATAAATAAGTAAATTTATTTATTATGTATTTGGTTGTTATGGGGTCTAACTACGGAGCTCGGACTCCTGCTTATCCTCTTGCTTTCAGCCTCCCCAGCGCTGGGATTCCAGGCGTGTGCTACCATGCCCAGACCCTGGCCGGCTCAGCCCGTCCTGAGGGCAGGGCTGGTGCCTCATGTGGTGCCAGGATTGATCTGTGGTCCCTGTGCTTGCCTAAGCAGGCGCTTTAGTCCACTGAGCTGTCTCGCTGGCCCATACAGAGAATAATTTAGATTCAGGCTTGCTTTCTTCTTGCAAATTTAAAACACTGTCAGGATTTAAAACACAATTTTCATTATATGATGGTCTAATGCTTTAGGGGTCCAGAAGTGATTTTCTTTTGCCTTTTTGAGAGTGGGTCTCGCTATGCAGTTCAGGCTGGCCTTCAGCTCACTTTGTAGCCCAGACTGATACCAAACTCTCAACAATCCTCCTGCCTCAACCTCCCAAGTGCTGGGATTATAGGCATGTGCCACCACGTCAGGCCACAAGTGAATTTAACTTTTGAACAGAGATTAGGAAGAAGTAATTCAATCTAGGGTGATACACAGAAGATTCTCTTTAGTTATAAGTCATATTAATTTTCAAATGTCAATATTATCCTGTGTGTGCAATTTAAAGACAGGCAAAAAAACCCAAAAAACAAAAAACATAACCCCAAACAAAGAAGAAAACAAAACCCCGGAAAAAAATTTTACTAATATATACCTAAGAGATGATGAACTTAAACAATGCATATGTGATACATATATATTAGAAGTCTTACTATGCAGCCCAGCTCGACATCTAACTCGCATTTTACATTGCTCTTACCTACGCCTCCCTAGTTCTAGGATTACAGGTTTGTACCACCATGCTCAGCATGAGTGTTTTATAAATAATTATATATAATCATAGTTATGTATTTATATACATAAAAACATATATATATATATATATATATATTTTTTTTTTTTTTTAATTTTAATTAAAAAAATCTTTTATTTGGTTCAGGGTTCCTGCACAGCTCGGACTTGTAGCGATCCTCCTATCTCAGCCTCCCAGCACTGGGATTACAGGTGTGCATCACCACACCTGGCTGAGTTTTGTTATAAAGCTACTGTATATAAACAAATGACAGTTTTTACTTTTTGTCTTTAAACCTAAAAATTTACGCATGACAACATAACAAACAGGTTTAAAAAAACCTGACATATAGGTTCTTTCTGTACAGAAGAGAAAATTAGAATGCAATATGTAATACCAGGTGTGTCTGTCTGTAGGACAAAATGAAAAGGTATGCCTCAGCTTGAAACTCACAGTATTTATGTATGCAAAGGACTCTGTTTTGTATAAAACTACAACTTCCCTACAGGAGGGCCCAAAGTGACTAATTTTGGTTAGTGATGGCAGTGTGAGGGGACAGGAGCATATACAGCTGTAGTGCCAAAGAGAAGCAACGCTTCCTCTGTAAGCATGTAACTGGAGGAATGTAATCTTAGCTTTTCTTTTTCCTTTTTTGTGGTACTGGGGATTGAACTCAGGACCTTGCGCTTGCCAGGCAAGCATTTATTCGACTGAGCTACCTCCCCAGCCCAGCTTTTCTTTTTTAAATGTATTTGGTACAGGGTCTACAGGCTCTCACTATGCAGATCGGACTTGTAGTGATCCTCGTTTTCAGCCTCCCAAGCGCTGGGAAATTTTAGCTTTTCTATGGCTTCATATACCCTTGAGAGTAACACGTTCTGGCCCTGGCATAGTATCTAAGAAAAAAACTTTTTCCCCCTGCATTGTAGGGAAGAGTCTACAGGGTGTTCAGGGTCTCACTACTAGGTTGGACTTGTAGTGATTCTCCTGTTTACAGCCTCCCAAGTGCTTGGGATTATAGGCATGTGCCACTATGCCCAGTCTCAACTGCCATCTCAGCACACCCTGGGGGCGGGCCTGGCACAGCAGGCCTGGGGATTGAATCCATGGCCCCTGTACATGCTTGCAGGTGCTTTTATCCACTGAGCTATTTGGCCAGCCTGAAAGAAATGTTTTTAGTTATTTTTTTTTTATCAAGTGAACAACAGGAAATGGGAATGTTCCAATTTAAAGACTATAGTCTTTATTTTTTAAAATTTTTTTGGTGGAACTGGGGATTGAACTCAGGCGCTTGAGCTTGCCAGGGAAGCACTTATTCCACTGAGCCATCTCCCTGGCCTGATCACTGTCTTTAAGAAGTTAAAAATAAAAATTAGGAGGCCTTAAGGCTAAATTTTTATTTCTGGTACTGGGAATTGAATTGAGGCCTCATGTGCCAGGTAGGCGCTGTGCCAGTGAGCTACATTCCTAGCCCAGAGCTAAACATCGCTAATACATGTACGTGAGCGGGAAGTTCCCTTGTAACCTGAATGTCATGAACATACACGCTCCCCTGAATGGCAGATCATACTGTATGAATTCTTGAAGGTTTCCTTCCACAGATCATCGGCATGGATACTGCTTTTAGAGACTGAGCAAGTTAAAACTACAGTTAATAATTAAAAAATCTGCTACTCGAACTAGTAGGAATTTCTTCATTTAAAGGAGATGGACTAGACAAACTAGAATAAAAGATGCTCCTCAGCTCTGTAACCACATAATCCAGACCTCGCTAGTGTGCACTGCTGAGTTTGATGCTCCCAGCTCAGGGGTTTGCTTCTGCGGTCCCGCTCTCCCTGCCAGGCCAACTGCTGGGCTTCCTCTTACTTGGGCTGTGTTCTGAGGTCTGATTCAGATTTTATTAGGGAAAAGAAAATTCTGAGGCTTCAATAAAAGGCCTGAAAAACCATGTCCCAGATAAAACAAATGATACATACAGTGGCACTTCGGTGCATGAATTTGTTCCAGGATTCTGGGGAAGATGGTTGTGTCCATTTTTGTGTGGGAAGGGCTGTGGTCTGCTCAGCCCTTGATGCAGAGTGCAGGGACAGAAGCAAAATTTTACCCAGTGCTTGTGCAACCCAACTGTTGGCACACAGAAGCATTCTTGTTGTTGTTATTGCTTTGAGACAGCTGTTATCATGTAGTCGAGGATGGCCTCAAGCTCCAGGTGATCCCCTTGCCTCAGCCGCTCAAGGGCTGGTATAGGTGTGCACAGGCACATCTAGCTCAGAAGCAGGCTTAAACCAAGGCACTACTGTATTGGCAGTCCTAATGCAGACTCCAAAGTAGTTAAGCAGCAATGAGAATTCAATTTGTGTGTATTTTTTTTTAATGTATTTAGTACAGGGTTTACAGGGTCTCACTACACAGATCAGACTTGTAGTGATCCTCCTGCTATTTAGCCTCTCAAGCGCTGGGATTACAGGCGTGCCACCATGCCCAGTCTCAATCACTGTCTCAGCACGCCCCAGGGGCAGGGCTGGCAGGGCACATTGGGATCAAACCCCCAGCCCTTGCATCTGCCTAAACAGGTGCTTTAATCCGCTGAGCAATCTGGCTGGCCCCAATTTGTGTTATTACAAAATATCACTGCTGTACTTAGTACCCACAGTATCCAGTTACAGCAGTTATCTGAGATGATAGCCTTACAATGATCTCTGTAGAATCTCTCTTCCCAAAAGTCTGAACACATATGACATGATCTCACTAATAATCACAGTAGCACACAAGTGTGGAAAAGAGAGCATTCATTGGGGCCCTACTCTAGGGGAGGCTGGCTTAAGAACCAGGCAGGCAGGCCGGCCTCCGATTTGTCCTCACACCAGTTCCTGCTTTGTCAGCACATCTCAGCTTCCCTGGTACTCTTTCTCTGGAGACAGGATCTTGCTATGTAGATCTTGCTGCTGTGTAGTCCAGAGGTTTGTCTCAAACTCGGCCTTCCAAGTGCTGGGATTGCAGTTGTGTGCTACCATGCCTGGCATTTTCAAATAGTCATGCTTAAAAATCTCCTGTGAGCAGGGTGAGCTCTTACTCGGGCTCAAGGCAGGCAGAGTTCAGAGCACAGGGGTTAGCTTAGGGCCGTACTGGCTGTCCAGTGTTAGCAGTGGCTGGTCTTGGAAGACAGCATGGCTGGGGGGCAGAGGCTCCTGCTCCTACCAGCTCCACGGGCTTTCTATGCTAACCACCAAGGGCAGTGATGAGGAGCCAGCTCTAGAGGACAGCACTGACTTAGCAGGAGGTCCGGCTGGCTTCAGCTGAAAGTGCTGATAAGGGCGCAGATCAAACTCTGCACTGTGACCTACTGCGGAACCAAAAACGCACAACTTCTTCTATTTGATAAGAAGGCGGTAAAGAGAGGCAGGTGCGACAGGAATGAATGAGGTTCATGCATGCAGACAGGTGCCTCCCTTCGGAGCAGGAGGGGGCATGGTGCTAGTGTTACAAGTAACAGGGCGAATGAAGGGCAGCTGCTCTCTTCTGGGTGACCAAATGGAAACTTGATTTTTACATACAAATCACATGAATATTGTTTGTAAAAAAGGCAAAACATTACAGGTGAGACTCAAGTTTCTGTGAGTACCACCTCCAATCCCACTCCCTCCCTCCCCTCTGCAAATAACCAAAATATGCTTGTGGGGGTCTCTCTCTCTCTCTCTCTCTCTCTCTCTCTCTCTCTCTCTCTCTCTCTCTCTCTCCGGGGTCTCACCATCTAGGTCAGACCCATAGTGATCCTCCTGTTTTCAGCTTCCCAGGCGCACGCCACCACACCCAACCTTAGTTGCTGTCTCAGTGTACCCTGGGGATGCGGCTGGCACAGCACGCTGGTGCTTGAACCCTCGCCTAAGCATGCCCTTTAGTCTGCTGAGCTATCTGGCTGGCCCTGCAAATACTATTTTTAAAATATCCTGACTACTATATAAAATGGCTTGACCTGGTACATGGCATTACAACATTAAAAAAAAAAAAAAAGAGATCTAAAGAGAAATGAAAGCCATTTACAGCAAGATAAGAAATGCTCCAGGAATTTGAGATGAATAGTTACTGTAACTGAGAACTCACTCTCATGCTCAGATTCTTAGCACCACAAAGCAATATTCCCAAAAGGAGGTTTTTTTATTTTTTATTTTTTGGAGATAGGGTCTCTCAACGTAGTTCAGGTTGGCCTGGAACTCACTATGTAGGCCAGGTTTGCCTCAAACGTGGGGCAATCCTTTTGCCTCAGCCTCCTGAGTCCTGAGGTTATACCAGGTATGCATCATGCCTGGCTTCCAAGAGGTAGTTTCACTTAAAGCTGCTGGTGACATGCATGTGAAGTATTTTACAAATGTGACATCATTATCAACATTAGAGCAACACACATCACCTTCTTTCATGGAGATAAAGATGTAAGATTCGCTTTACACTGTTTTAGACAACCAACATGCCGCCAACTTAGGGCGTGTTTGTACTTTCAAGATAAAAAGCCAGAATGTAAATGAGTTAAGCCTGAATCTGTATTTCGCCCACTGAATAATCCACCTGATTTGGATCAAGATCCTTTACTGGCTCTGAGTGTGTATAAATTCCATTAGGATTTCCAGAAAAACCAGGCTGCTTTGTTCACATGATATCATATAAGGAAAGTCCTAAATCAACAAGATGTTGTGTGTGAACAAAATTTCCACCATTAGCTAAATTTTCTTGTCTTTCTACCCATGGAAAGTAGCAGAGAAAATCTTAAATATAAATTAAACTTCTAATCAAGCTAAAAAGTACTGAGCAGAATTAATTATAGGTAATAAAAGGACAGGACTTGTCATTGGGTACACTGACATAATTCTACACTACTCCCTCGCCTCTGAAGAGGACACCTGGTGAAGTTGTCGGCCATTGCACAATGCCGCATTACTAATAGTTCCTTTGTTTTTGAAACTGTATACTTGGAGACAAAAACCAAGCCTCAAGATCCTGCATTTTCAGAATTATCTGGTCAAAACACAAAGCTTCAGGCAACATACACAACAGATATTCTCTACCCTTAGGTTAAGCCAGGTGCAACTGTCAACATGCAACTATGTTTTCTTGACATACAAAACCCCCACGGAGCTCATATGCTCCAAATTAATATGAAAACTGGATGAGACTAGTAGTGTTCCCTGCTTAAAAATAATTTCAAATAGCAGCTCCCCCATCCCTCCTGGGCTGAGGACTGAACCCAACAGCTCACACATGCAAGGCGAGTGCTCTCTCCCTGAGCTACACCCCCAGCCCTCATATCACAATTCCTTACAGGAAGGTTTCACTTATAAAACTTGTATCAGTGATTTTTAACTATTAATAGGTATAATTAATAAGAGAAGCATTCTCATTTTAAGGATAAGATGCTTAGGTGTTATGGTTCCTTCAGATTTAAAAAACGACTCAACATTTCAAAATAAGGTGAGGAATTTCATACTCACGTGTTTAAAACAGGTGACTGGGGCTGCTAGAAAGCTGTTGCTATTGATGTAGTTTCCCCAGCTGAAACCTTCCACAGAGACTGCTGAAACAGAATAAATTTAGATATAATTTTCAAAAAAATTTTTTGGGTTTTTGAGATAGGGTCTCAACTGTGTCGTTTAGGCTGGCCTTGAATTCACTATGTAGTCCAGGATGGCCGTGAACTCTCAACAATCCTTTTGCCTCAGTCTGAGGGCTGGAATTACAGGCCTGTGCCATCATACCAGGCTCCTCAAATATTCTTGCTTTTTATAAAAAGGCAGCTATTTTTACAATATGAGAAGACATGAAATTAATTTACCCCTTTAAATTTTCCTTCAAAAAATCATTCATTCATTCATTCATTCATTCACTCACTCATTCGGTATAGGGTCTCACTACACAGCTCGCAGTGATCCTCCTATCTCAGCCTCCCCAGCACTGGGTTTACAGGTATGTGCCACCATGCCCGGTTTTGGTGGCCACCACGGTGTGGGGCTGGCATGGCATGCAGTACAGGGGATCAAATCTGGTGCTTATGCTTGCTAGGCAGGCAAGATGGCCGAGCTATATCCCCAACCCCAATTTATCCCTTTTAAAAGTTGCCCATTTTTCTGTAAAGACTGAAAAATTTCATTAATTTGTGCTTTTAGCTGGTACCATATCAGTCAAGAATTCCTTTACTGAAATACCTGGGGTCAGAAGTGTCTCTGGTTTTAGAATTTGTTATTTATTTTTCTTTATTTTTAGACAGGGTGACGCATGGGTGCACCACCACAGCTGGCTGGATTCTGAAACATTTCATAGAGCTCACTGGTGCTCCAGGAATTGCAGAGTATTTTCAATATTTTTTAGGGACACGCAAGCTGTGTGTGCAAACTGAAGTTACTTTTTTTTCTTTTTTCTTTTTTTCTTTTTATAAATTTTTTAAAATTAATTTATTTTATTTTTTTTTGTGTGTGGCCAGCTCAGCCCACCAGGGGGCGGGGCTGGCTGGCATGTGGTGCTGGGGATTGAACCGCGGTCCCTGTGCTTTGCTAAGCTTGTTCTAAGTAGGTGCTTTAGACCACTGAGCCATCTCACCAGCCCTGAAGTTTCTTTTTTTTTTTTTTTTTTTTTGTGGAACCAGGAACTGAACTCAGGCCCTTGAGCTTGCCAGGGAAGCACTTATTCTACTGAGCCATCTCCCCGGCCCCTTGCAGTTTCTGAAGTTGTCTGTACACAGCACATACTCTGGGAGGGGAGGTACATGCACTCAAGCCGGCAGGAAGCAGCCGAGATGTGGCCCAACACACAGATGTGGCTGTTTTGTGTTTTAAAGCCCAATCAACTCTTATTGTGCGCCTCAGTGGTTACCTACCCAGTTTCTACCACCTGATACCTTTATTACATTTTTTGTCCTTGAGGTCTCAGTACTTATATTTTCCAGACTGCTCTCAAACTCTTGGGCGCAAGCAATCCTTCTGCATCAGCCTCCTTAGTAGCTGGAATAATAGATGCCTGTCATTGAATCTGGCTTTACTAGGGTTTCAATCACCTTAGTCTATTTTCTTATGAAGAAAGTGCTAGTTGCACATGATGTTACATGCCTGAATCTCAGCCACACAGGATGACGGGAGGAGGTTCCAAGTTTGACATTCATGAGATCTAGTCTCAAAACAAACAAAGGCTGGGAATGTAGCTTTGGAGTAGACTATCCATGGTTCTTGCCTCAGTTCTGAGGAGTGGGAAGAATCTAAAAGAATCTTTTATTAGACACGGTCCCTTACTCCTTCTCCCCAGTCCCCTTAAGGTTGTTCAATGTCCAATTTCTTTGTCCACAGGCTCCTTCCATATTAGGCTACAGAGAACTAATACGTTAAAAAAAAAAAAAAAAAAAAGACTGCTGAGGGGATTACAGTAAGCACTGCACCGTCCTCCCCTTTGGGATACTTTCCCGACAGCACACACGCAAGCCTTTCACATGCTATAGAGGCAGAGACAGCCTACACGGAAGCCAAAATTCCAATGTCTTTACTTAATATGAATGAATCAGTGTGAAGTACGTCTCTTCTGTTCTATTCACCAACATTACCTGCTTTCGTCTTCGCTTGATTTTGCAAGGTAGCTTGATACTGCGCATAAGCGGCTAGTTTAGCAACTAAAGGCTGTTTCTGGAGAACTTTCGCTTTCTTTGTTGGAGGCTTACCCTGAAACAAGAAGAGTTAAGTAAATAGGATTCTTTGTCATCGCCTCACCACAGAAATGTAACATGACTGCATACTGCTCATTCTGCTTAAGTAAACATTGAGGGTTTAGAAAATTATTGAAGCAGAAGAAACATACAGGGAATTTTAACATGAGAAAGTGTTTCTGGCGTTCTGCTATAACACAGATATCTAATATGGGTAGCAGAGCTGGCATAGACTAAAACAGCAATATGCAAATTAATATGTTAATAAAAATTATCCCATAAAATGTTAAAATATAGCCTTGGTGGATACTTGATTTCTTCTTACAGTGGATAGAACCAGCGGTTATTCACTCATGCAGGTTGCCAAGCATTGCTATTGATATGGTAAGAGAAGATAATTTAATGTTCAAAGACTGAGGTTTATACCTTTAGTGCTAACGCAAAAGATCAATGACAAAATGATCATGGCCAAATTCAGTGACAAACTGCCATCCATTTGGGTACAGACCACTGCTCAGGATCTTTAGGTACTGTCTATCTGAAATATAGAAATACATCTAAGTGATGTATTTCCTTCACGTGCGGGATTAAAACAACCCATTCAGTGCTATGTGATGATCACAGTAAGTGAGAAAAAGAAAACTGTGATCATCCAATAAAAATGATTACAAAATCAGTTATGTAATGCCTTAAAAAGTTGTTTATGTGGTACAGTAACAACTTAGCCAAACAGTCAAGACTCCAGTTGCTTTCTAGGCACTGATGTACATGTTAAATGTACGTGTTAAATTTTTCTTTTTATTCTGTTGATGCTTTCAAAAAGGTGAATTGATGGGGGCCAGGGAGATGGCTCAGTGGAATAAGTGCTTCCCTGGCAAGTGCAAGGGCCTGAGTTCAATCCCCGGTTCCACCAAAAAAAAAGAAAAAAAGGTGAACTGAGGCTAGGGAGATGGCTCAGTGGCTTAAGTGCCTGCCTTCAAAAAGGTGAACTGGACTAACCAAGGACATTTGGGTAAGGTATCAAATGGGTTGTCCTTAAAAGTCCAAAGCTGTGCAAGCCTAGCGGTGTAATGCCCCGGGTCAGACCCCAGCAGCACTACTGCCGCTGCACAACAAAAAATAAAAACAAAAGAACAAAGAAAACAAAAAGCATAAAACAAAGGTGATAAGACAATAAAACCAGAGAGAAATCATTTCCCCTCAAATGTTGGAAGAGTCTACCTTGATACTAAGTCCAAATAAACAAAAATTTGTCTATACTTATTCAGAAAAGCATTTTTAATTTACTTACAAAGGTTACAGTTTACTTTGGACAGCATGCTCTGTCTGATTTAAGAGTTACTCGATTTTGTACAACCTTGGAGCTCACACATTTCCTAAAAATATGGGACGCAAAAGGAAAGTGGCTAGCCAGCTGGGCAGGGCAGGAGTATAATGAATCACCAGCAGGTGACAGATATGGTGACGGGCTTGAAATGACAGGTATAAAGAACAAGAAGGTTTCTGTACCGTTACCTGAAGTCTGGCCAAAATGCTTGCCTTCTTGGAGTTGGACGAGTAACTTCGTGAACACGAAACGCTGCAGAAACGCTTTGTTTTAGAGTAAAAGGCATCTCGCACACCAACCATCCCACACATCTCGCAGGTGGCTAATTGACAAAATAAAAATATTTTTGATATTATGATCATATATCAATATCAAATTTTATGTAACATTTTAATAGCATCACATCTCTGTAGGTATGTATTTATTAATTTTTTGGTACCAGGAACTGAACTCAGGACTTTGAGGTTGCCAGGCAGACATGGTGCCACTGAGCTCTCTCTCTGGCCCAAGGTTTTTCTTTAAAACCTTGCATGGAAAATTTCTTCCACCTCCTACACAAATGATAGAGAAGCCTACACAAAAGTTAGAAGGGCAATGTTCTCCTGTGACACAGCGCAGGCTGGAAAGGCATTAAACAGGGTCAGTGGACACATGTGCTTAGACACGCGCGGCATCGTCACATGCACCATACATCAGATTCCGAAGGGTTTATAAACAAGATCAGAAGTGGAACACAATGGAAGATCAACACAAACTGCAATGAATGTCTTTTAAAATACTGCAGAGATGGAAACTTAGAGCAAACACTTGGAAAATTTTAAGGGCGAGATAAGGATTCTTCCAAGGAGAACAGGATCGATGCCATGTAAAGTAAGTGCTCTGCTCTGAAGCAGTGAATGAGGGACAGCAGAACTGGCAACTGTCACCCACTGGAAGCCACCCTGAGAGCTGAAGTTAGACTACAGTTGACATGAACTCGAGGGACTGAAGCTCAGAAATGGCACATGTAATCAGAAGGAACACAGCAGACGACCAGGCTAATGCTTCCTCCCTCAAACAGAAGGACCGTTGTATAATCAGCACTTAGAAATCCACAGGAAGTCATGGAAAAAAAGAAAAGATAGGGGCCAGGGAGATGACTCAGTGAAATAAGGGCTTCCCTGGCAAGCACAAGGGCCTGAGTTCAATCCCCGGTTCCGCCAAAAAACAAAACAAAAAACCCAAACATCTCGGAAAAAAGAAAAGATAAAGCGTCAGAAGATCAGAGATGAATGCAAAGTACACTGCTAATGTGAGAAACGACCAAAAGGGGCCTTACAAAAATTCTAGAATAGATGGTTGAAAAGGGTCATGACTACGAGGCTATAGGAGCTGCAAACCCAAAGGGACAAGGAATCCTTGCCCAGAATCCTGTGTCAAACTAGAATTCTCTTAAGGCCACCAGTGGCATCAGCACAGGAGCAATGCCAGCAGCACAAATGTCAACAGAGTTGCCAAACTGGTACCATCAAACACCGGCAAGAGCATGCATAAACAGAACAGACAGCTGCTGAGAGTACCACACAGCTCTCTGTCAGTGATGATGCAGAGCTTCAGTAAGAGCAGGAGACCTGGCGGCTGGCTCCTCTCTGAGGCCCCGCCTGTGCTAGCACAGCAGCCTACCGAGCTGCCCCTGTGCGGGTGGATGGCCATGCCCTCACTACGCAGGTTGGATTCACAGTGATCCTCCTATTTTCAGCCTCCTCAGTGCTGGGATTACAGGTGTGCGCCACCACACCTGGTCTCTGTGGCCCACTCAGCATGCCCAGGGCGGGGCAGGCATGGCATGTGGTACTGCGGACTGGGTTGGCAAGTATTTTTTAAAGAGCATACAGAACTGGAAGACTAGATGAGAGCAGAAACACAGATGACAGAATTTACCATAGAAACATGGGACCAAAACAAAAAGGTTTTAAAGAGACACTCAAAATCCTCAGTCTCTGGGTTTAAGAAATCAACTGCAAAAGCATAAGACTTGCTTAAACTGTTTTAAAACAATGAGTTATTTTAAATTCAGTATTACTTTTAAAATCTTTAAGTAATCTTGGTGGCTTGAATAGCAACAGTTTTTTGAACATGGCAGCAAAGCCTGAACTGCTGTCTGCTCTCACCACACAGGCTGATCAAGCTGTTTTCAGGGGGCGGGGGTGGGACTTTCCAGGGTAAAACCAGACCGGCCCAGGTAATCAGTAGGAGCTGTTGCCCTATTCCCACAGAATCAGGATAACCTGGAAGAGACGGACCAGGAAACTGATGAACTCAAACTCTGACACAATGGTTACTTCCTGTGCCTCCCACACACCAGAACTAGGGTGGGGAGCTGTCACTGTAAAAAATTACAACTGGGCCTGGGAGAGAGCTAAGTGGAGGAACAAGTGCTTGCCAGGCAAGTGTGAGGTCCTGAGTTCAATACCCCCCCAAAAGTTTAGTGCACCCCCCAAAAAAGCAAAACTAAAAAATTGTAATTGTTCTCTGCAGCCAATTCTGAACACACTATTTTATTATTTACCTATTTCTGCAGAGTTGGGGAATCAAACCTTGGGCCCATACACACTAGCCATGTGGTCTACCATTGAGTAATAGTATAACACCTTATATGCAACACTGAGTATGCAAACATGTTCTTAAAAAAAAGTTGCTCTATCTCCCTCACAGCAGTGCTATGATCAAAAGATAAGCCGGGTGTATGGAGTGGTGTGCATCTATAATCCAGGCTATTCAGGAGGCTAAGGCAGGAGGAGGTTGATAGTTCAAGGACAGGCTGGAAAACTTATTGAGACCCTGTCTCAAAAGATAAAAAGAAAAAAAAGGACCCAAGATGTAGCTGAGGGGTACAGAATCTGCCTAACCTGCATGAGGCCTTAGCTTTAAACCTCAGCACTAGCAAAAAAATCAACCAACCAACCAACCAAAAAAATGAAACCAAGAAACTTTCATAGTTGTTGAAAATCAGATTCCCATCTCAAAAAGGTAAGAGGAGCAGGGCAGTACTGCTTCAATACAAAGGACATTCTAGTAATTAAAAACACTAAAAGGGCCAGCGGGATAGCTCAGCAGACTAGACAAGTGACTGCTTAGGCAAGCGCAAGGACCAGGGTTTGATCCTGGTACCACAAGCCACGCTGACACCGGCCCCACCCCTGGGCACACTGAGCTGGCGACCGAGTCCAGATGTGGTGGCACACACCTATAATCCCAGTGCTGGGAGGCTAGAAAACAGGAGAATCACTATAAGTCTGAGTTGCATAGTAAGACCCTGCACAAAATCCAGAAAAATCAAACAACAAAAAAATTACTAAAAAAATGGAAGTGATTTCTGAACTAGTCATTTTATCACTGGAAGGATGAAAACAAGAAATTTCCTCTGAGGAAGCATCACAGGAGAAAGTCACCTGGTGAACATCCCTTCCAGCTCTGAGACCCTTCACACTTTTGCTTACTCCGGATTTTTAACCTACTGATTTACATCTGCTTTTGGTTCCTCAATGGCTCTTTGCTTTTTTATTTTGTCCTAAAGAAATTAAACAGGCCCAGGGATCTTATGTGGAACTGTGAAGTCTCAGGCTCTGCCTCGTGAGACAGCCTTTGCAACATCTATGGCAGGGAGACGACAGAATGAGCCGGTGAAAGCTGGGCCCGGGCCAGGCGGGCGGCACTCACCCATGCCAGACTTCCCGTCGGGGTACGTGTACACCTGCCCATTGTTTTTGATAATCGGAAGGTTGGAGGGTAAAGGAGCAACTTCCTCTTCACTCTCTTCAGAGCTGGAGCTGCTACTCGTGTCCTCACTGCAGCTGTCATAGCCGTCGAACATCCCGAACGTGTCGCTTCTCCTTTCGGGTTGTGAAGAATGCTCTGTCTGAAGACACAGAAAGCAGTGGCAGTGATGTGGCACTCAGGTGCCCTCACAGGCCTCAGCCACCCCTCTGGCAAGGGAGACTGGGCAGATCCAAGTCTCCTCCTGAGGAGCTGAAATGGAATTCTCCAAGAACACGACAGCTAACGGGTGAGACACAAATCTGGCTGCGATAACGTCTACTAAAAAGATGATGCTAAGACTGCCACAGAGCAGTCTCTGAAGACCATCATTTTGTTTCTGACTGCATCACTGCTCTAGAAAAAGGACTTTAGGTGGGACACAGTAGCGCATCCCTATAATCACAGCTAGTCAGAAGGCTGAGGCAGGAAGATCCAAAATTCAAGACCAAACCCAGCAATTCAGCAAGCTCTTATCTCAAAAACAGAAAGGGCTGGGGATGCGGCTCAGTGGCGGAGCTCTTACCTACAAGTGAGGGCTACTTCAGTCCCCAGCAGTGCCCCATTAGATCAGGCAATTTCTTTAAACATTTATTAAATTATTTATTTTTAGATACAGGGTCTTGCTATGTAGTTTGGACTTGTAGTGCTCCTCCTGTCTCAGCCTCCCCAGCGCTGGGATTACAGGCATGTGCCACATCACAGCATGTAGTACTGGGGATCCAACTCGGGTCTTGTGCTTGCCACACAAGTACTTATGCTGCCGAGCTATCTCCCTAGCCCCAGATGAGTTCTTTTTTTTTTTTTTTTAATTTTTTATTTATTTATTTGTGTGTGTGTGTGTGTGTGTGGCCAGCTCAGTCCACCAGAGGGCGGGGCTGGCTAGCATGTGGTGCTGGGGGATTGAACCGTGGTCCCTGTTTTGCTAAGCTTGTTCTAAGTAGGTGCTTTAGACCACTGAGCCATCTCACCAGCCCAACCCAGATGAGTTCTTAAAAAACAAAACTGATGTGAAACACTCAAGCAGAGGATTTCTTAGTCTTTCATCTCCAGTCTTTTTTTTTTTTTTTTTTTTTGAGACAGGGTCTTGGGATATAACTCAGGTTGGCCTCAAACTCAGTGAGCCTCCTGCCTCGGCCTCCTGAGGACGGGGACTATAAGTGTACATTAGTACACCTGGCTCCAACCTGTTTTTAATGGTGTTGTTTCAGAACATGCTTTTAGACCTGCAATATTTTTTTTTTTTTTTTTGAGACAGGGTCTCCCTTTGTGTAGTTGAGGCTGGACTTGAACTCACATCTATCTTTCTCCCTCAGCAGCACCACACCTGGCTCCAGGCTCAGTTTTTTTTTTTTTTTTCTTTTCAAAGTTTTATTGATAAACATATAGCAATGAGACAGTTTCAATTCCAATCGAAAGTACAGTTTCAACAAATAATACACTGCATATATTCTTCTTAGTGGCTAATTGCTGTACAAGATGCAGACTTGTGATCCTACTTACAAACACCATTAGAAAAAAATCATTCTGTTCATTAAGAGAATGCAACTATATATCTATCCCAACCACTTTCAATACACAGATACAAAATGTACATTCATAGTTATACCCCATTTTTTTTAAGTTCCGTTGTTGAATATTATAGGTGTGTAAACTCAGCAAAATATTCTAAAAGAGACCAGTAGCCCATAATAGCATTGGGTCTTCTGTTTAACTGGCAATGTCAGAAATTATTGACCTGAGTCCCCCACAGCTCAACATAACAACATGGCTTTACTTCCTATATTTCATTTTCATACTTTTCTACTGGATGCAGGCTCAGTTTTAAAGAGAAAAGTCTACTGTTTTGTGGTCACTTTAGAATTACTTCCCTTTAGGGCAGGTGAGATAGCTCAGCACAATAAGCCCCTGCTTAGGCAAGCACAGGGACTGGTTCAATCCCTAGCAACACATGCCTCGCACTGAGCCACCACCAAGTTCGGGCGTGGTGGTGCACGCCTGTAATCCCAGCACTGGGGAGGCTGAAAACAGGAGGATCACTACGAGTCCAACTTGTGTAGTGGGACCCTTACCAAATACATAAAAAAGAACCACTTCCCTTTTCTCCAACAGACTTCCCTGGCTTGATTATCCAAACTAACACAGATATGGTACTTTTATTTAATGTTTTGCTATCCTGTATGCTAGGCAAGAGCACCACCACTGAGATACATCCCTGACCCTAGAGTTGGTTCTGAATAATTTCCAGAATTTGTATAAATGAAACGTATCAACCAAAGTTGCTACTATCAGATTTAAATGGAATAGAACGGACTCCACAGGCAATGGCAAAGCTCGACCTTTCTGCCCTGATGAGAATGGGATAAGCCTAAGTAGGTAAGAGCGTCGTGCCATCAGCACAGAGCCCTGGCGAACCTGCCACTTGGTACAGGTGAAGCCAAGTGAGGTCTGCCGTGTAGACCTGAGCAAGATGTGAGTTTCTTCCATTACATTCATTATTCAACACTTTGACACTCTGCATCTCATCTGAACCTAGGGAAAGACAGATTGCTGCAGGGACCAGACCTGCGGAAACCCACAAGGTTTGGGACAGGGCAGCAGCTGAGACTCTAGCTAACAAAATGCCTCGGCAAGACCCTGAGGTCAAAGGACAGCTGCCCAACATCTGTTGCTGGAATACTGGGGGCAAGAGCAAGAGCAAGACACAGGCTTCCAGGGTGACACAGACCTGAACACAGAGAAGCCAGTGTGGCTCGTGCCAGGGTGAGCACTGCAGGAGAGGGCACTGGGCACAGGTGGCTGCGCCAGCAGACTGCTGAGGACCCCTGAAGGACAGTTTAGGCAACAACCTGTTGCCTGAGGCAATGGGAGAATACTTTGAATTCTTTTAGTGCCTGGGCTGCTTACTTCATAAACACTGGGAGGCACTTTTTTTGGTACTGGAAATCAAATTGAAGACCTCATGCTTAGCAGGCTGGTGCCCTGCAGCTGAGCCTTATCCCTGGCCCTGGAGAGGCACCTGTAGGTTCAAATACATGAACATCCATGCAGAGCTGACCATACACCCTTTGTTTTCACACAGAGCGAACAGTTTATTATGGGGCTGGGGAGATAGCTCAGTAGAGTCAAGCGCAGGGCCCTGAGTTCAATTCCCGGTACCACACACACACACACACACACACACACACACACACACACACACAAAGGTAGTCAGCTCAAGTAGCAGCTATAGGTTTATTAACCCTTAAGTGTCTCCTTCCAGATCTCTCGAGATTTCACGGGATTAATAATTAAATGTCTTGGTTTTGGTAATTATACTGTCAAAAAAAAAAAAACAAAAAAAAACCCAAAAACCCTGGTCAAATACATTCTGGAAATAGTCCCTCTTTAAGGGCTTTTTGGTCCTTAAATATACTTATGAACACTATGTTTTGTTGGTTTTTTTTTTTTTTTTTTTGCAGAAACCGGGATTGAACTCAGATCCTTGCGTTTGCCAGTCAAGCGCTTATCCTTCTGAGCCATCTCCCAGCACCTTGTTCTTTGTTTTTGATCAGGGTTTCCCTATGCTGTTCAGGCTGGCCTTGAGCTCACTTTGTAGCCCTGGGGAGTCTTGAAATCACACTGATCCTTCTGCCGCACTCAGCCTTCAGAGTGCTGGGATGCATGCACTACCATGTCCACCCTAACACTATGATTATTTTTTAAAAATTTGTGTGTGTGTGTGTGTGTGTGGCCAGCTCAGCCCACCAGGGGGCGGGGCTGGCTGGCACGTGGTGCTGGGGGATTGAACCGCCGTCCCTGTGCTTTGCTAAGCTTGTTCTAAGTAGGTGCTTTAGACCACTGAGCCATCTCACCAGCCCCAACACTATGATTATTAAAGAACACAAGGTATGCAATCTTTCTTTTAAAATAATTTATTTATTTGATACAGGTTCTTGCTATGCAGCGCTACACAGCTCAATTTGTCGTGATCCTCTTGTCTCACCTCCCCAGCACTGAGGTTAGAGGAGTGCACCACTATGCCTGGTTTCGGTGGCATGGCGTGCCCAGGGACCTGGGGCTGGCATGGCACGTGGTACTGTGGATCAAACTCAGGTCCTTAAGCTTGCCAGGCACTTAGACTGCTGAGCTAGCTCCACAGTGCAAGGTACATGATGTTTTCCAAATTATCTTGATCTAATGTTCTGGAGAAAGATGGCTGACCTTATGTCTACAGTCACTTTCTTGCCTGAAGACAAATTCTCCACACCCACAGCTTAAGGGAGGGATTTGTTTTGGCTCAGTTTATAGAGGCTTCTTTCTCTAGGAAAGGAGAACCCTCCAAACCACACCCTAATGTCCCCCTTCTGACCAGACCCGACCTCCTAACAGCAAGCCAGCTACATGCCCTTCATCCAATCACCTTCACAAGTCCTGCTTCTGACACCTGAGGCTTTGACATAAACTGCATCATTCATCCCTTGGCCTCAAAACATGTGCATATCTCTTTATGCAAAATATATTTGGTCTGGGCCAGGGAGATAGCTCAGTAGAATAAGTGCTTGCCCGGCAAGTGCAGGGTCCTGAGTTCAATCCCTGGTACCGCCAAAAAAAAAAAAAAAAGAAAAAGAAAAAGAAAAAGAAAAAAAATATTTGGTCCATCTCTTAAAGAGTTGCCAAAGCCTAACAGTTCCAACACTGTTGAAAAGTCGAAGTGAAAAGACTTTAGGCAAACTCTTAGCTGTAAGCCCCTATTTAAAAAAAACAAAAAACAAAAACTAAGCAGTGCTGACAGGGCAAGCATTCCTATTCCAAAAGGGAAGAATAGGGGGACAGAAAGGAACAGGACCAACACAAGGCCAAAACCCACAGGGCAAACATTAAATCCTGTAGCTCCAAATTCAGCACCTGGGGCAAATGTGGTGACCACAGGTGACCTCTCCAGGACTCTGGCAGCCCTGCCCTTCGGCACTGCCTGTGGTTGTATCAGTGGCTTGGTAGCCCGCGTTCCTGGCTTCTCCAACTTCCTGGAGTCTCCATGGCACTTCTGGCTGCAGTTTCATGCCCTGTCCTCTAAGGGACAACTGCCTGCCCTTCTAGGTCATCTTCTGGGGAAGCCACCCT